TACAGGAACAACATAAATACGAGGACGCTAACGGCGCTCTGATTCTGGTTCACCTGGACTTTAATGATCTATCTGCTGAGAATAACACACCTGTCACCTGTAATGGTTCGAGCCACGCCCACCCGCTCTGATGTGGTCAGTCCCTGCAGCTGACAGGACCTCGTTTCATTTGACTTATTTCAGTCTGAGTTAGAAATGCTGTGAGACAATGGTCGACCCCCCCAGACTACCTAAATATTAAAAGATAAAATTCTAACTGAACATAAAAACAAACAGTCTCTCAACCAGTCGGCGTTCCCGGCGCGACGGCCGTCCTACAGCAGGACGCAGGGCTTCTTGGTGACGGTGGGCTGCGGGTTGAGAAACGCCCTCACGGCCTCAGCGAACACGTCCTTTATGCCGTCCTGGTTGAGGGCCGAGCACTCCATGTAGCGCACGGCGTGGATCTGGCGGGCGAGGGCGGCGCCCTGCTGGTGGGTGACGGGCGTCTGGTTCTGCTCCTTCAGCTTCCTCTGAGTCTCGGCGTCGTTCCGGAGGTCGCTCTTTGTGCCGACCAGGAGGATGGGAACGCCGGGACAGTGGTGGGACACCTGAGAAGGAAGAACAACGAGAAACAGTCAGAACGACATCCGCTCGCCTGGAAACTCTCTGAACTGACAATACGCTGCTTTTCCCATTTATTAATATCTTTCTGTATCTTCGTCATCACGGATCGGGTTGCAAAGTGCACTGACCTTCATCACTAATGAACTTTTTGTCTGTGCAGACGTTGAGGGAGGAAAATGAAAAATAATTTGTTGTTTTTCTGCTTTCTAAAACAAATGTTTCTAAGTAATGTTAATGAGAGATAATAAAGTCAACTGGAGTTCGGTCTATACCTGCTGTATTTGTAAAGTGTCCTGAGATAACTTTACAAATAGAGAACTGAACTGTTCATCAGTCTTCATGTTTCCATCCAAATGTGTCTCAGATTTGAACATTTAGAATAATTTAACAAAAGAAAATTAATGTTTGGATATTTCTTTCAGAGAAGCAGCAGGAAACGGCAATTCTCAAACTGTTTTCTAAAGCGATGCTTTAAAATACTGCCGTCACTTTTTCCAAAACCAAGTTCGAGCGAATTTAAAACCTTAATATTTTTACGAGCTGCTGGATCACGAGGCAAACTACCCCAAACTGTCAGTTCCTTACAGACTCTAAAGTTTGAATTCAAAACAGGAAAAACTACTTTTTGAATTCTGAATAAAAAGCTCTATTTGAAATGTGAAGTGACGACTGAAACCTTGTTAGCATGTTTGGTTTTTTGTTTCTTAAAAATAAAGATTATTTATTTATTTTTACAGATTTAAGGAGGATAAAAAGACGGTTCATGTCTGTACACTGAACATGAAGCTACAGACAGTAGCGTAGCTTAGCATAAAGACTAGGAACAGAGGGAAACTGCTAGCCTATATCAGTTTTTTGTATGTATATGTATATTTATTATATATTTATATTGATGATAAATCTAAGATATAAAGAAAATGCAAACAAAATTTTCCAGCTTCAGGTAACGAACAAGAATATATAGAATATATTAATATAAACGTATACACATATAAGAGACACATGATGCCTTCAAAGCCCTGAAATTAAAATGAATTCCTGCTGATATGACCTCTGACCTCTGGGTGCCACTTGTGTTTGACGTTCTCGTAGGAGGCGGGGCTCGAGATGGAGAAGCAGATGATGAAGACGTTGGTCTGCGGGTAGGACAGCGTCCTCAGCCGGTCGTACTCCTCCTGACCCGCCGTGTCCCACAGGTTCAGACTGATGGTCCTGCCATCCACCGTCACCTGAACGCACCACACACACACACACACACACACACACACATGGTCAGGGGTTTGTGTATCTGTGTAACTATGGCGATAAAAGTTTGTTTGGTTCACAACAACAAACTAAATCTTAGAAATATAACAACCAGATTTCCACAAAATATTAAAGCTCCTCTTATGACATAATCTTAATACTGAGTACACAGCTCTGCCACAGTCTCTGTTTCATGTGAGACTGCAGTCAGTTCCTGTTGCATCATCCTGGGGGTCGGCCAACAGTGACAAACATCTGAACGCTGTACAAACAATGTCCTGACCATCATAGTTTAGAACTACACCGTCTCCTACTCTCGAATGTTCCCTATATTTATTTGGACCTTTTAGGCGTATGCCTATAATAGCTCGCTGTTTACAAATCAGCCAACGCCAGACCCACACAGCGCAGCCAAGATAGACAGACAGACAGACAGACAGATAGACAGACAGACCTGGCTGCTGTAGTTGTCGAACACAGTGGGGATGTACTCTTTGGGAAAAGCTCCGGTGGTGTAGGAGATGAGGAGGCAGGTCTTCCCCACAGCACCGTCACCCACAACCACACACTTTATACTCTGCATGATGACCTCTGACCTCTGAGCCTTCAGCAACCTGCAACACACACACACACACACACACACACACATTACTGCTATAGTCAGTCTGTACAGTTCAGGTCTGTGAGTCTGTGTCGGACCCTGTGGAGACTTGCTGCTGCAGTCTGGATTTAACTTTTGGTGCCTGTTAGTGTCCTGATCCTCTAATGTCCCCGACAACCTCTGTAGTCTCATTTAGACTCATTTAGTCGTTAGCAACCGACTTTATTCTGACTCGTAGATCTTCAGAGTTTACTGACGGATTCTTGTTTCAGACATCTAAAGTCTCTTGAAGAGGAGGAACCAGAGGAGCTACAGTGCTAAGTGAGTTCATGTCTGCAGGAATCTGCTGAAAAGGTTCAGTCCAGGTTCAACCAGTGAAGTACTTAATAAATCATTAGACATATGAGTCATTATACAGACATGAAACTTGGCTTCCAAAGAAACATGAGTCCAATCGGCCAGATGGTGGCGCTGTCTTTAAGGCCCAAATATCCAACTCTGGAAGGCCACTAAAGTCAGCTATTTAGAATCTAAAAAATACATTTTTGCCGTCTCCGTCGGTCCGACTGCTACCAAATCTTCTGTGGTTCAACATCAGACGAAGCAATCGCTGCATAAGGCTTATCGATAACTTATTTAATGTTCAAGATATTGACCAATGAGCTTCAGAAAGGGTGTGGCTAAGCACAGAAACAGACATAAGTCATCAACCGCTGGAGGACCGGAAACACACCCCAGTTTTACCTTCAGTGAGTCTGATTGGTTCACTCGTCCTGCCGCGGCTGTCAGACACACTTCAGTTTCCTTCAGTTAACACAGTTTGTTCAGAAACACGTGACGTCCCATCGTCTGACTGCGGGGGGAGATAGAGGGGGGGTCAGTATTTGTGTTTATGGAAATGATCGTCGCTGCAAAAGGAAACTGTCTCCAAACAAAACAGAGATGTTATCCTGCACACACACACACACACACACACACAGTCCAAACTTTATTTATATTTATAGAACAGAAAGACAATTGGCTCCATTTTCGGTCTTTGTGTCTCTTTTTCTTTCCTTTGTCTCCAGTTTTATAGAAAAAGTTCATCAGACGCAGCAACAGTGTTACCAGTGGTATCATTAGTATTATAAGTATCATTAGTATTATAAGTATTATTAGTATTATAAGTATTATATAGTATCATTATTATTATTATTATTATTATTATTATTGTTATTATTATTATTAGGGTGGACTCTGGAACCGAAGCAGTAGAAAAATGGCTGCTTCTGTCCACAGGGGGCGCCAGAATCAACGACATTAAACTGCGTTCAGGAAGTCGCTCACCGCTGCACTGCTGCATATGCTAACTGTACTAGCTGCTGTTAGCTAGTTAGCAGAGTTGGAAGTGTATTCCTTGTTTTAAAGAACCAGACGGTGTGATGTTGAAATAAAAGGACTCAAAATCCTGTTTGCATTTAACAGGCCACTGTTCAAATATAAAGATTTAAATAATTAAATTAATATCATAAACGTGTGCCGACTAGTCGAGTAAGAAGATCTTAGTAACAAAGTAACGAACTGCTAACTGCCGTTAGCAAAGTCAGCCGAGTCCCCAACGTCACCCACATCCTGTCCGAGTCACCAGGTTCAAACCATTGACAGTATATATAACGGACAGAGCTTCAGGGTCTGTGAAGTGTCTTAAACCTGCATTCTGTGTAATGACCAGCAGGGGGCGCTCCATTGGCTGCAATAAACACTGAATTTAGTCTTGTGGAGAAATGAGCTGAAAAACTAAAAATACACAGAGAACATCACTAAAAACGTCTCAGTGATGTCACGTTGAACTCATATTCTCAGTCCTGCAGGTGACGTCTGAGCTGCAGAGGTCAGTTGGACAAGAAATGACGAGCTCAGAGACACGTTGAATGTCTGTTTCCGTTTTTTAAAGTTTTATAATCTGAGTTATAGTTTGAGTGAAGAAAGTATAAAAGAAAGGAGGAATAATGATGTGTGCTGAACAATAAAGCTCTGCAGTGTCTGTGCAGATGTCTGGATACAGAAAGTGGCTCAGCCCAGACTCTGGGGACGCTGACCCCACCCTCCCCTCTCGCTCTCTGGGCGGAGGTCGGCTGATCTCACTCCTGCTGGAAGCTTTCACCTCTCATCATATCTCACTTCTTCTTCTTTCCTTCACGCTGTTTGGATGGTGAGAAGAACTGTGACCTCTGATCTCCGCAACTCTTCAGATCCTCAACTTAAAGCAGCAACAAGGAGCCTTCGTTCTGTGTTAATTCTGGCGCCCCCTGTGGACACAAACGGTAGTGTTTCTACCAGCTCAGTGTCACACTGAGACTGTTCATTACCAGGTATTAACTCACTGTAGTGCGTTATTAAAGTATAACTCACTGCATTTGTTGGGGACTACTTCCAGCGGCGGATGAATCCACTGCTGTCTGATATCAGAGTGAACGTGTCAGTGAGACGTTTTAATGTGTCGAAAACACTGAAGAACATTTCGAGTGTTGTAACGATGTCCTTTTGTAACTGCGATGTAGTTGGAGAAACAGGAAGCGTTCAGTGGACGGATGTCATTGTGGTTTCATGTTGAAATATAGCAGCAGCTCAGAGACGAGTTCTGTCACCATCATATTCACTGGAAGTGGAATTAAAGCACATTCACAGCCGTTAGCTAAGCTAGCAGCTAACTCTGTGACAGTGTCTGTGTCCGGCTAACGCTACGTAGCAGTCTGCAGAGTGACACCTTTTTGCTATGGGCTCCAATCACAGTATATGCTATATGCTATGCTAATCTATGTTGCAAAGACAACCACATTTTAAAGATAGTTAAAAGATAAAAGAGACACATATATAGTCACATCTTAAGTTAGCTAATGTTAGCCAAACACTAGTTAACTAGCTAGCTAATCTACATTAATTAGCTAGCTAACCTAACTACATCTGATAGCTAATTTTAGCAAAATGCTAGCTAAAGATTGATGTAGATTACTAGCTTGCATTTTGCTAACATTAGCTAACTTAAGATGTGACTATATATGAGTCTCTTTTATCTTTTAACTATCTTTAAAATGTGGTTGTCTTTGCAACATAGATTAACTTAGCATATAACATATTATTACAGGGAAGGAGGAAGTTGACAGACTGTATTGAAGTAAATGGGAAAACCCTCAACTTGTCTCTACAAGTCCAGTTTTTATACAGACGTCATACAGCAGGTCTTTTAACTGCTCATCAGTCTCCTGGTTGATGGTTTTATTACCAAACTAACATTTGAAAAAAAACGGAAAGCTATTTTCTGACCGAACTGATTCAGCATACTGTATGTTAACGAGGTTATTTTAGCTCAAAGTGTCCAGTGAAAGCAGATCTGAGGGGGAACAGTCAGACTGTGAGGAGGAAGAACGAAGAAAACACGTTGAGAGAAAAGAGGAAGAAGAATCGAGATCAGTAACCTGCAGCCGGCCGACTGAAACACACGTTCATTGTGTAAAAGCAGCCTGAGCGTGATCAAAGTGTGAAACAGTGTTTCATTTTAATGCCAGTTAATCATTAGCATAATAAGTTATATATACTGTAAGTCAGAGGTATAAATATATTTGAATGAATCGTCATGTGGGAGGACCACAGGAACAATGACACACTGACGAACAGCTGAGTTTACAGTACGTATCATCATAATCATGGACTAACCACACTGAGCAGGAACAGAAGATCAATGTTTCATATTTTCATGCCCTGTTCAATCAAAATCTAAAGTTTTTTACAATTATAACTTTGTTTCCCTGGTAACAGGGATGGTGGTATGGTGACTAATACCTAGAAGAACCATTAACATCCGATAATGTTTTAATGCAATGGTTCTCTCACTCCAGTAAATATGACGAACCTTAGAGACGACTCTGCAACAGGAGATATTTCTAGTTTCCTCCACTCAGAGAGCTAACGTTACGCTACGAGCCAGAGAGCTAACTGGCTAGGTGTGACATGTTCGTTCAACAAAACATATGTTAAAATGGTTTGTTATACGGGGTGGAAACCAAAGAGATAATCTGCTGACACAATTACAGATCCTTCCTGTTCATCTTCATGACCATTGTCTTAAGAATTTCTGAACAGACTCCCTGATATAAAACAACACACTGAGCTTTAATCACTCAATCAATCAAATCAAAGAATCAATAACTGATGGTGCACACACTGTAAGCAAGCATGCCCTTTGGATTAAACTCCAAGTAGTACCTCAAGCCTGGGAAGTGATCTGTTTTTGTGTTTACTCTATTATAATACACAGTGCAGCAAAATATAGACAATGGTCTTTAAATAATTATTTACAGAGAAACCGCCTCTGCCCAAAACAAGGTTCAATGAGAGTAGTGACTCGTGCCAATCAGAAAGGATGACACCCAGAATAACAACGTATATTCAGAGGGAGCAGACTGTGATCTGGGCCCCTGATCCAGCGGAACTTTCGAGTGAAGCAGATCGGACCCACAGCTGTGTTACTAACTTATTCTTTCAAATAAAAGAAGTTGAGGACAACACTTCCTTTAATGTCCTTTCTCAAAATAACGAACACGACACAGGCAGCAGCTTTCTTTATCCATAGACCAGTTTTGTGAAAGGGTCGATCAAACTCTGAGCAGTAAACCTGCTGCTGCTTGTATGCTGTGTTTGTGTATTTTCTGCTGTAAATCAAACTTCCCGTCCAGGGACAATAAAGAACTACATTAATGACATTATGACAGGGATACAGCATCATAGAGCGGAGGGTCGGCAGTGTTTGGTGAGTTGGGAGTGATAACGCGTTGTGAATCCACGCCCTCAATGTTTGTTAAAAATACAATTAAATTAAAATTAAAATGGCGAAGGGTAAATGTAGTTCATTAGATAAGAACACTACACAGTTTTCATTATCTTTACCAGAGTTCCCACACATCCTGGAAAATTAGAGACTAGTTTTCCAGTCCTGGAAACACCTGGAAATGGATTAAAATGACTAAATATCCTGGAAATAATCTAAGTTGTCCTGGAACATTTTAGTTGAATTTTAGCCGCTCACAGGTCACATAAACCTGGGTGTGTATTTAGTTTTAAACGCTGTGACACTTCAAAGTGGAACAGAAAAAAAGCTCCTTTCTCATTTCTGATCTCATGTCAGCAAGAGCTGTTCACACCACTTGCAGCTTCTGGCATCAAATCTATTTTGGAAATGTATTTGTTGTTGTGGTTGATAATTGTTAATGGTATGTGCAACGCTCATACTGTCTACCTCTAATTTTACTCGACTAAAACCTACTGTCCTGTATCCTGTATACTCAGAGAGCTGGAGTTACCTATAGTTTTATATCTCGCCTGGTAAATTTAGTCGTCAACGTCAACTTCAACAACAGAGATAGAACTGTCTTCAAGTGTGGAAACGTTTCTGTCAGTGAAACTCAAAAACACCAGAGAACACTGGACCAAACTGGGACTAAAACACCACAGAATACTGGACCAAACCAGGGCTAAAATACCACAGAATACTGGACCAAACCAGGACTAAAACACCAGAGAACACTGGACCAAACCCAACTAAAACACCAGAGAATATTGGATCAAACCAGGACTAAAACACCAGAGAATACTGGACCAAACCGGGACTAAAACACCAGAGAATATTGGATCAAACCAGGACTAAAACACAGAGACTAAAACATCAGAGAACACTGGACCAAACCCAACTAAAACACCAGAGAATACTGGATCAAACCAGGACTAAAATACCACAGAATACTGGACCAAACCAGGGACTAAAATACCACAGAATACTGGACCAAACCCAACTAAAATACCAGAGAATATTGGATCAAACTGGGACTAAAGCACCAGAGAATACTGGACCAAACCGGGACTAAAACACCAGAGAACACTGGACCAAACCGGGACTAAAACACCAGAGAATACTGGATCAAACCGGGACTAAAACACAGGGACTAAAACACCAGAGAATACTGGCTCAAACCAGGACTAAAACACCAGAGAACACTGGACCAAACCAAAGTAAAACACCAGAAAATATTGGATCAAACCAGGACTAAAACACCAGAGAATATTGGATCAATCCGGACTAAAACACCAGAGAATATTGGATCAATCTGGACTAAAACACCAGAGAATATTGGGTCAAACCGGGACTAAAACACAGGGACTAAAACATCAGAGAACACTGGACCAAATCGGGACTAAAAGAATTCCTGCAGTTGTTTTTAAATTAAAAGCATTAATTCCTTCGCATGCAGCTTGGGAAGGAGTGATGATGTTTTTGTACAGAGGAATTAGTGCTGTGGAAATGGAGAATAGTAAACATGGAAGAGGAGTTGTGAACAGTAGCAGATCAGAAAACAGGGAATCAGAAATAAAGACCCCTCTCTAATAGAAGCTTTGGCCACAGAGGCTGAAACGTAATCAGAGACATGCAGCCTGTTGTCTCCTTTGTGGTTTTACTGCTCTTGTATTTTAGCATTTCAGGAACTAACAAACAGCTTTGGTTTCGTCTCGTCAGCTGTGTCCTTTTTCTGTATTTTTATTTAATTTTGCTGGTTTAGGAGGAGTCTCCGGACCCACAGAGGAACCGAGTCATGATGCAGCTGAAGCTTTGACGGGAAAATCTCTAAAATTGGAGCTACGAGGTTTATTCTCACGGCTGTGTGGACTTTTTCCATCTTTCAGTGATCAGAAAATAACCCATCTGAGAGAAGAAACACCTGCTCTGCAACATGAGCAAATTATGGTATTTTTAAGGACAAAAGAGGTTATCTACATGCACCACTTCACCCAGATGGAAAAAAATATTGAGCAAGTGAACACTGGTCCCTTACAGTCCTTGTTAACAGGAACATTTTAAACAATACATATGTTCCTCGTGTGAACAGGCAGTGAAACAGACTGGGATAAAACTTAACCAAAATGGGGCAAAAACACTAGAAAATACTGGATCAAATGGGTATGAAATGTGTTACATAAATAAATTAGCCTTGCCTACACTGGGACTGAAACATTAGAAAATATTGGACCCAACCGGGACTAAAAACACTGGAGAACAAACATGCAGCATGTTAGCATGGTGGTGGTTGGTGGTATACGAACAGTACAATGTGAAAGGGGGCACGGGTCAGACAATCAGACCAACCAAGAGTTCATCCAGATGATCTCTCAGCTGAACTGTCTTAAGTTAAGCAGGAAGTGTAAACTGATGGAAGACAGTTGGGTGGAAATGTTACTGATCGTTTTCTCTTCTTAATTAACTTTTCTGACCTGGAGGTTTGTTCCCTATCTGATCATCTCACTGCTCGTTTGTCACCATGTTCCCAAATCTCCGTTTATGAATCCAGCTGACAGTCTGACAGAGGCACGCAGCGTTTCCTAACCCCCCTCACCCACCCAAAGAGGAACTGCTCTGTGTTGAAACCGAAACAGGAAGGGTTTGTCCGCTGATTTGTCCATCCAGCAGCAGAATGTGTAGAGGAAAAGTGTTAACTGGGACCGTCTTACCAGCAGTTTCTATCAATACACACAGAAAGAAGTACTAGTGGAAGTTTCCTTTAACAGCTGGCGTGTGTTAACTCTATACCACAGCCACAGAAAGCTGTAACTGGGGCCAAACCAGGGCTCCGAGATAAGACAGTACTGGACAAAAACACCAGATAATATCGGGCCAAACCGGGACTGAAAGACCAGATAATATCGGATCAAACCTGGACTGAAAGACCAGATAATATCGGGCCAAACCTGGGTAAAAACACCAGATAATATCGGGCCAAACCTGGACTAAAACACCA